GCAGTACGAACGATATGATACAGCCATATCAGTTGGTCGCTTAACAACTGGTGGAGAACGAGTTTTTCACCGTGCCAAACTCTTCCCGCCAACCATCCGCATCGAACTACACTATATTTATAAGTGCGAGTACGGTCAGAAGAAAACGGACATGTAAATAATAGGATTATTGCCTGCCACTCCACTAAACAACAACTGAGCGCTTATAGGTTGACTGTAAAGGAGACATCCGTGATATCATCGCAGACAGCCTGGTCGCAATTAGCGGTGTCTACCTGCGGCGCTTCCACCTGGGCTTGTTTTCTTCCCAAATTGATCTCTACCCGATCACCACTGATAGGGTAGCTAAGGCGGAGTATTCCTACCCCACTACAGATTGCAATGCTACAATCTATGGGCGGTCCAACTTAGCCGGTGTCAGAACTAACTTTCGACGGCTGTGCCACCCTCCCCATCACTGTGATCGCTAAAGTGGGGAAATCTTTGAATCTGCGGGCTGGACCATTTCCACAAGGAATTACGACTTCGAATTACTTGAGCACAGAGTCTGTCCTTGGGCGCACTTGGTAGCGCCGATCACGGTGCCGTGTGCTTGACGCGCTATGTCGGCACGACGTACGTCGTCGACGCGCAGCATCGCGAAGTCTGAACGCTGCCTAATCGGCGTTTTGAGCCACTACGCTCAGATAGCCTTGTTAGAGTGACCATAGTTTTACCACTCGAAAACACATCCAAACTTTATATTTGTTATAAGGTTCGTGTAGTACAAAGCAGAATATCCAGTCAGAAACAGTACTGTCTTTCCATTGATTTATTTAATAGTCATTTATTTCGTCTTATTAATCACTGGCACAACTTTCGTGAACACGTCCTTCGAATCAGGCAGTGGTTTCAAGGTGTCGTAGTTCCTGGCCCAGGGACTTGCTACGGCTTCCTGAAGTGTGCTATATTGACCGACAGCAGTTTCTTATGAGCTCTTGTTACTAACCTGGTCCTGCGGCGGTCGCACAATTAATGCTGTCTTCACCACAGACTTATTGTAATCAGGCGTATGGGCGTATTCACTAGAGGTCCCTGCAAATGGTTTTAAGGGTAGTTGCTGGGTAGGAGTAGTAGCTTTGGGCTGAGGATGGACTGGTCCCTTTGGAGCGCATGCAACGGGCGTCTTGGGTTTTGCTTGAGGCGCACTATTCTTCTGTGGTTCGCTGGCTTGAGGCGCACTTGCCTTTTGAGTAGTGGCAACCTGGGGAGCCTTGACCTTCTGCGGGGCGTCGGCTTGAGGCACACTTGGCTTTTGTGCAGCACTGACCTGAGAAACAATTGGCTTTTGTGGAGCGCTAGCTTGAGTCACAGCTGGCTTTTGTAGCGCGCTGCGTTCAGGCACAGAGGGCTTCTGTGGAGCGCTAGCTTGAAGCGCAGCTGGCTTCTGCACAGCAGCTTTCTGTGGAGTGCCAGCTTGAGGCACATTTGGCTTCTGTAGGGCGCTCCGTTGAGGCACGGTGGGCTTCTGTGGCGTGCCTTGAGCCACAACTGGCCTCTGTGGCGTGCTGGCTTGAGCCACAACTGGCCTCTGTGGCGTGCTGGCTTGAGCCACAACTGGCCTCTGTGGCGTGCTGGCTTGAGCCACAACTGGCCTCTGTGGCGTGCTGGCTTGAGCCACAACTGGCCTCTGTGGCGTGCTGGCTTGAGCCACAACTGGCCTCTGTGGCGTGCTGGCTTGAGCCACAACTGGCCTCTGTGGCGTGCTGGCTTGAGCCACAACTGGCTTCTGTGGTGTAGTGGCGTGGGGCACATTCGGTTTTTGTACCGTGCTGGTTTGGGGTGCATTCACCTTTTGTGCTGCACTGACTTGGGCTACGTTCGCCTTTTGTGGAATTACAGCCTGAGGAGCCTTCTCCGGTGCACTGACGTGAGACACACTTGGCTTTTGTGCAGTGCTGGCTTGTGATACATTTGGTTTTTGTGCCTCTTGACTGGATGCTCTTCTACCTTCTGTGATGCACTGACTTGAGACACAGCTAGCTTCTGTGGAGCAGTGGCTTGAGGCGCCCTTGGCTTTTCTGCCGAAAAGGTTCGGGGAGGCCTTGACTTTTCTGCCAAAGTGGTTCGGGGAGCTTTCCTTTTGCCTTGTGCACTCTTCTCCTTCGAAGACTTATCTTTCGGTGGTGACAGTGGCAGCGATGTTTCCAGATTGCACAAGGGCTGAATTTGATTTTTTTAAATGAATTGCTTTTCCAGGGATTTGACAAAGACAAACCTCGTATTCCCCTTCTGGCTCAATTGCTGTTTTCATAATTGGATCCGGTCGCTGTAAATGCCTATATTACTCAGGTTTATTATGAAAGGATAGTAGTTCACTGTGAAGAGATGCAAGAAATCTGGCTCTCGTTCTAGCTACAGCACGATGACTAGCAAGAGTTGTATTGCGCCGGGGAAATCCATACTCGTGCAACCGTCCACCCCCTATTCTCACTGATATGAGGGTACTTATACCTCTGCAGTTGCACCCATATCCTAGAGATGAGGGGGCGTGGCTGCGTACTTCATTCAAACACTGGAAGAGCAGCCACGCCTCCCATAGCCGGGGTTTGGAGCACATTCCAATCCAATGAGGCAGGTTCCCGAAGTTTCCGTGCCGCTCTTAACTGAAAGATAATGCGAGATGCAGCGCAAGCAAATTCGCTCCTGTCTTGTTGTTCCCCGTTTGGGACCACGCCCCCACTAATACGCTCCTAAGAGCCTGTCCACCTACAAAAACAACTAAACCGCTTACCTCTACTGAAGCATCAGGGCCGAACGACATCTGTTCAATATTTGGCATTTGTGGCATCTGTGGTATGTAAGGACGCTGTGGAGCTGCGACTGTCATATTGGCCCCCATCCTTGGTGAAGATCCTAGTAGAAATGAACCACCTCCTAGTGTCGACTTCAAATGAGATTGATAGCGCGAGTGTAAGCAAAGAATTCAGAAACATTTCAAATGAGCGGTTGATTCCACTTAATTGTATTACATACAGTTGCACTGAGGAGCGTTCCTTATCGCGAGCGCTCACACAGTCGCAAATGGAGAGGCTGCCGCTTGAGTTCGCAGTAAACTGGAACTTTATCAAAGACATTTTATAGGGATATCCAAGAGACCAAACATTCACTCTTACCACATTTTCAAACATCCACGGAAGTGGGGTTATTTCGGGGTTACTAAGAGTCGTAATAAGTTGTTAAAGAGAATCTCCGTCATCGCTAAATGACTCGTGAGCTTGCAAAAGCTGATACGTTAGCCTGCGTTCATACTTTGCGTCCACAGCGACCAGCAGCGTCCACCAACGCTACCAAGCGTCCGCCAGCTTCAGCGACTAGAAAGGTATAGATATTGATCTAGCGTCTGCCAGCGTCTGCCAGCGTCTACCAGCGTCCAGCAGCGTCTCGAGGGCTAGGGAAGTATAGATATCGATCTAGCGACCAGCAGCGTCTACCAGCGGCTAGAAGCATCCACCAGCGTCTCTGAAGGCTAGGGAAGTATAGATACTTATTTAGCGACCAGCAGCATTTACCAGCGTCTACCAGTGACTAGCAGCGTCCACCAGCGACCAGCAGCGTTTCGAGGGCTAGGGAAGTATAGCCATCGATCGCAACCAGCAGCGTCCGGTAGTATTACCTATACTTCCCTGGCCCTCAAGACGCCGTTGGTCGCTGGTGGACGCTGCCGCAAAGTATGAATGCAGCTTTACCGTTCTCTGCAACAGACACATGGGATCGCTCTGTGACGCTGCAGACAACACATGCGGTAATTAGCGATGTAGGTTAGTCTAAAAATGTTAAGCTTGCGAAAAGCTCAGGAGGTCGTGGCCTCTTGGGCATTGTCTTACACCACTTGATTCGATGTGATCTTTCCAGGTGGGAATTCTGTTTTTATGTTCATCGTGCTACCCATGCACCCTTACTTTGTCTCCATCCTGGCACCGCCCCGCCGATCACCGACGATATCAACTCTATATGGTAGGCTGTATAGCTAAGCACCGAACGGACTACGGAATCGGATTTTGGAAGTCTGACAGTAGCAATGGTGGGTATATATTTTCATCAGATACGTTTTTCTACAATAAAAGGAGCCCAGTTTCAGAAAAAAACCAGCACCCTTCCCGCCTAAGCGATCCTTTGTAAAATTCTCGGTAAGCACCTGACGCTCACACCCCTGTCAAACTTCCTGGTTCTTTTCCATAAAATTCCACCGAACGGCGTGCAAGTGATCGCTGGAGTTCAAATAAACCCTCAATATGACAAAATCTGCTCAACAGCGAATCGACCAACGCTCGAAGTTCATCGGTAAATTTGAATTTCAATTGGCTCAGACGGGTGTGCACGGGGTGTCCGTACAGTCGCTACTTCCGCCTGTAGTGACATTTCGTCACGCTTATGCATCCCCTCTTTTTTCAAAGCATTTAACGCATGCCCTAACAATTGTTTGACTGAAAAAGCAAGCGTGTTGCGCCTTAATAGGCCTCCTATTCAGGATGCTTGACTCTTTCTCACTTTCGTTGCCTCTTTATTTCACTTAACATTATCCGATTTTTTTTCCTCCGGTAATCCTTTTGACCTGAGGGGCCTTCAATCCCCGACCCAAACAAAACTTGTTTTTGTTTTACAGGTGAATTAAGTAGTAGTGTGATACTGAGATTTGTTAGCGATCCAGTGCACCCTTTATGTTTGCCCATATTTATGCATACGTAAACATTTGTTTTATTGCATTCAAATACATCGAAAACACTTTTGTTATAATATTAGCACATCACTTTCATGTCACAACCTTTCACATGTTATACTTGCTGAGAATTGCTCCCTTCTCATTCCAATTAGATCTTATAATGTTGAACGGCTATTAAAGCCTTCTTCGACTTTTATAACTGACCGCTGTAACGACTGGGAAGTTCTGACTTTGTCGCAGTAAATGAATTTCTTCTGAGCTAACTGCCTGTTTAAAGCAGTTGGCACGATATTTTCAGGTACATTACTTGGTCTATAATGGTAAAAGGGGCCTAGTGGGGAAAATGGCTTGAAAACGAAGTAAAACGGTCAAAAACCTGCGAAGAAAACTACGTTCTTAATGACACGGAAGCAGGTTTCGGCTGCCAAAACCGCTACCGGGTTGGTGCGGCTGCATACATGTGCCTCATATATCCAAATGCAGCCAGCGCCACGCTTTCATAATTTTTATGGAATTCATATCACAATCTTACATTTAGTGAGTACCAGGTGCGGTCGTCCATTTGTGGCGGGCGGGAGCGTGGGGGGGGAGCGGATTCCGGTCGGTTTGTTGTAGCTTGATAACGGCCTTATAGGCTACCTCCCTTGGAAAAGACGTTACGCAGCACCCGCTCAGGGTCGCGGAATTCCGTCCTGCCATACGGTATTAGTCCCACTCTTCCTAGGGATTCACGGTGCCAACTGAATTTAAAGCCACGACTCGCACTCTGAAATTTTATAGGGATCACAGGAGTGCTGACCATGAGTCATCTGGCCAAAAAGTTCTGGCTCCAGGCCGCGGACTTCTTATCATTACGCTTTTACGGTCCGAATGAAATTTTAGAAGCCTACGTCAGGTTCTATTGTGCTACGGTACATTTATAAAGTGGAACTTGAGCCGTAGCCGGTAAATAGATTTTAACGATACATTTCAGTGGGTATGGCTTCTTCACGTGCATTCGAGATGCTGTGCATAGTCCTTCTAGGACTAGGTCAAATGTGCATGTTTACTGGATACGATACTCAGGTAAACATTGAAGGGATTCAGCATACGGTTTAAGTGCAAGTCCACAATTTTCGAGTGGCACATTTCCAAGCAGTTAAGTCTCTGAAGGGTTTCACGTGAGAAAATACCGTTTTCGTGTCTAACTCGATTTCACCAGTAAAGAAGAACTATACTCAAGAAGTACCTTTTGAGATCAGAAAGTAGGCGCGTTTGACTTGGTGGGAGCACCAGATGGTACTGAGGTGGGAGTACCAAATGGTACTCAGTCATACTTGTACGGAATCTTGGAAAGACCTGTAAATTCCTGTGACCAACGTGGTTCACTCGGAGCTTCACAGTAGATTACAAGTCTGACAAAATTGGAACCTGTTTGTCAATATGAACTGACAAAATTTACAACTCAGAGTAAGTACTGTCCCCTCCTAGCCCAACAACCGAAAACCGGGGTTTATTCAGGACGTTGTTGGATAACTTCATCTACCTCCTACGTTCTATTCTTTACAGTCCTTCATTGCCGAATCAGTGCTGCATTCAGTGAACGGCCGTGAGCCGGAGCGTATTGATGTGTTCGCTGGATATTATGGGTAAGAAGCATCTAGGGAAAACATCGTTTTTTCAATTGTTGGAAGGTTTTCTCTTATCCTTTCCAGTCAAGCCACGTGCTATGCCACCTACCTGATCACATGCCTGTTTGCTCCGTCGATACTGAGGATCCTTTCGCCAAAATGGACTCTCTTTTTTGGCTCTTGTGGCTTTACTGTTTATCAAATAGGGTTTTTATACCTGAACAATGTCTATTATTATGCATCGTGTGCAATCATGGGAGTTGGATTCGCACGTGAGTTCAGCCGTTAGAACTTATAGTGGTGACTGTGTGGGATGGGAGATCCATATTGCATTGACTTAGTAGCGGAACAACCGCACCATCAAGTAGCAGTCAAGAAAGAAAGTTGGGCGTCACTGTGACCAGTGGGCGGGGTGGTGCCCTTGCCGCGAGAGAGCGGCGCTTTCTCCAGGGCGGGGTGGTGCCCTTGCTGCGAGAGAACGGCGCTTTCTCCACGTATCTTTGTGCTGCCAAAGTAGTACATCCTTTCTGCTCTCGGGCAGTGATACCATGTCCGAAGAAGTTTCCTCAACATCGAATGAAGGCGGGCGTACCTTCAGCGCCGCAGTTCACGCTCCAGAGAATGTGTA